AGAAACGCAACGGTGCCGGCAGTGCGCCCCGCCCCGACGGGCCGCCGCACCTCCACCTTCACCACCACACCTCGCCCGGCTTTCCGCACCGCCGCCGGCGTGACGACACCGCTGACCTGCTCCGTGCCTATCGCGCTCAGAAAGACCGCGACTTCGAGGACCCCTACAGCGGGCCCGGCTCGTCCCTGCGCAAGTTGCGTGCCATGTGCCGCCCGGACTACTCTGTGCCTGAGGACCTGGGCGAGGCGGCCCCCAAGGCTTTCTCCTCTTCGTCGTGCTGCGCCGCGCCCCCCGCCACCTGCGCAGCCGGCTCCCCACACCTCTTTCGCAGCCACAGCGAGCGCCGCCCAGCGACGCCGCCAGACGTGAAGTACATCTCCCCTAAGCACCGGCTTATCAAGGTCGAGAGCGGCAGTGACAGCGATGGCGCAGGCAAGAAGCTCAACAAGGGCTCCAAGCAGTTGGTGACTTCTGTCCCCTCTACTATGAAAGATAAAGTAAGTGTTGTGCTCCTGTTCCCGCGCCCATAGAGTAGGTAGTAGGGCTGGGTCTATATCAGCCCCTGGAAGGGTTTTTGGTGGGGGTATTAACACCTGTCTGAATGCACCTGGAGTGGCCACTGCTCTCCACCATGCTTCTTTGGGTGGCCTGGGCCCTTTTATTAACTCAGGGCACAGAGGGTGTGTGCAAGGCTGGCACGTGAAGTGGTGGTGCCCTGTCCTCTGAGCTTTCAAACTCATCTCCCTTCTGATGGAGCGGTTTTGCAGGTGTGCCTAGCCCTGCTCTGGGGCACAGTGCACTGCCAACCTCATGACTTGTACCAAGGCTCTTGGATGGGCATGCTCCTGCAGAACAAGATGTGAGTATTTGAGGGGCTGCCTGGAGAGCCCTTGAGTCACTTGAGGAGCCCTGTGCTTGTGACCCAAAGTTCTGGCCTCAACCCAATTGCATGTGATATGGAGCGCTTATATATAAAAAATAAATTTAAAAAAAAATCTGATGCCATCTCGAGTCAGACTGCCTATTTTTAAGGAGACAGTTTGTCATGTGTTCAGTGCTGGTGCTCTTTTGCCTCCTAGTTCAGTGCCAAAGGTGAAGTAGTTCGAAGTCCTATGTTACAACAGCATCACAACTTCCATGATAACCGTGTTTCCAACTGGCAGGTCCCTGAAGCAAGCTCTATAGCTACTGGCTCAGTTGCAAATGTTCTCCTATCTTTTACTGGTCGTTCTCTACAAATATTAACAAAATACTGTAGACACAGCACTAGAAAGTGCTGGGCTCAGGAAGTTGGGTTACAGCTGTGAAGCTTTGCAGAGGGAAGTAGCGTTAATTATTTTATAAGCACAGCACATATCCCCCCACCTCTGTTGGTCCTGTGAGTATAGCTCATATATTGGAAATTAATATTTCTCCATTTTGTAAATTGGGATTTACAACTTCAGTGTAATAGTCACATCACAGGAATTCTAACTATGTGCTGAATGTTATCAGTTTAAATGATCTGTGTGTACATGTTTAAATATGTAACATGATTGCATTGAGCGGTGACACATTTCCTTGACAACTTGATAAATTATATCCTGTCCAGGAGGAATTCCAAATAAATCAGCTTGTGATGGTGATGATACAAGATTAAAAGTCTAGAATTTATTACATCGTCTGTCATTTTATGTGTAGTTCCTGACTGGAAGCAACTTCTTTTCTGGAAGGAAATTATTAGAGTCTCACTATGTTACAGTCTCAGTATATTCGGTCTTCTTTCAGTTGCCTATGTTGATACCATGTATCTGCTTTTAGGCAAATACTTTCAGCAACTTTGTACTTGAGAGAAAATAACTGCTTGGGGGCAAAATGCTTTCAAGTGCAACTGCTACTTTTTTTTTTTTTTCAATAGGGCATGATTTTTTTTTTAATTATCTTTCAATTTTAGACCCTACTGAAGCAATTTCTGAAGCAGAAACTACATTTGTTGCTAGGTAACCTGCTACCTTGCATGGTCATAAATCTGTGTGCTGCTCCAAAGCCCTTGTTGTGGGTTCTAAAACTTGTTTTGAATGAACGGCCTACAATTTTTTAAAAAAAGAAACACAACACTCATGTCATAGTCACGTTCTCTCTGTTTTTGAGAGAGAGAACTACATGTGACAAGCAGGAAATCTTAACATGTCTGAGAAATAAAATTGTCCCTACACCTCAAAAGATAAGTGTGCCTCCCCCCAGCCACAACAGAATTTGGTTGTGAGGAGCTACATAGCTTACTGTTTGTTCAATTGTGTTATTTTCTCCCAGTAATTGAAATGAAATTTCTCTTATTTCACAGCCCTGAAATGTAAAGCTTGACAGGTGAATCTGATAAGCAGTGGTCATAGTGGGCAGGCAAAGAACTGCTTCTCTCCTGTGCCTGTCATTCACTGAGGGAAAAAAATGAGGAATTTAGTTAACAGAGTGTGTCTAGTGCAGTGGCAAATAAAGCAAGTGGAAATAAACTTCTGTAAGAAGGATATAGTAGAGGGGACAGTAAAGAAGGCATCAAAACCACCTAGAGGTCTGACATTCAGAAGAGTTGATAGATATGTTAAAAATATGGGGGGGGGGGGAATCATCTTTAAGTAGCATAGGTTAAGCTAGGAAGTACCTTAGGAATGAAAAAAGACCTAGTTGCCCTATAGGTCTGTCATCATGGAAGTGTGTTTAATGATCCTGTAGTGTTTAACAGTCCGATAGTGTTCACTAAATGCTTATGTTTCATTCCAGCACCTCTGTTTTTTTCTTTTTCATATACAAGGATAGAGTGCTGTTTTACTTTGTGTTAACTGAGAAGTGAGAAGTATGGTTTTCAACAAATTCAATGAGCAATTTTATAACTTTTGTGACTGGTCATCAGTAAAGAGTTGGCTAAAGAGCTCACTTGTGTGTTAAACTTGAAAGAGTTAGTTGAATGGGAAGGAGATTCAGGACGATGCTTGTTTGGTGTGGTTAGTTATAAAGGACAAATGGCAAAGTATGAATAATGACTGACTGGTTAGTTGAAATTCCCAGGAAAAAATGATAGACTAGCTGATTCAGGAAGTAAAGGAGATGGAGATTAAAAGCAATGGCAGAGCATGATTGTATTTTGCAAGATTCCAGGCATAGGTTGTAAAAGCAACCACAAAGATTTAATGTATCTGGGGTTCAGGAAGCTTTGATGTGTAGAGTTAGAAGTACTGACTAAAATTGAAGCAGACAAACCCAAATTGCCATGTATCGTTTAATAGTGAGGTGACTAACCTTTATAACAGATGCCCAAGGGAGAGTCACCATTGCCAGATGTCTTTGAATTCAAATTGGTGGGTGGATTTTTTATTTAGGTAGTACAATCAGGCAGGTTTGGGGGCTTTAGCAGTGATGCTCATCTTCAAACAAGGGAGAGCAGGCTATGTTAGAATTCATGGCAGAAGCAGCTCAGTTCCTCCAGTATGGAGGATAAGAAATTACTGCCTTCCATCTTTAGTGCTGACCTGGGAGATGTTAACTGCTTCACTCTCCTGTGGCAGACGAATGAGTGTAGGCAGCCAGAACAACCTGGCGGCTAATGCATTTGTGTAAGAATAAATGCAAGACTTGGCTTAAAATCAACTCCCTAGACAAACCGCACGGTGAACTGGGGATCTAAAAGAATGAGTTGAAATCTTCCTGAGTGACTCTCCTCTATCTGGCATTGTGTGGTGTGTGTAAATCCATAAAAGTAGTAATAGTTGAGGGGAAAGTGTCTGTGTGAAAGGATACTTTGTGTATTTTCTCACCTATTACACTTTTTTGAACTTAAACATTTCTCTGCCCGGCTTTGCAGCTGAAGAACCTGGAATACTGTTCGAAGACCAACTGTATTATACTCCATTGCTGGAAGTTTTTAGGATTTAAAAGCTGGAATTGTAGAGTACTTGTCCTTTAAAGGATAATTATTTAATAACAAGCAACATTTTGCACTCCCTCTGTGCAATGGAGGTAGAACTGTGCAGCAGTTCTGGACATTGAATGCAGAAGTTGCAAGATCCATTTCTGCAGGACAGGATGTATCTGATGCTGTAGAAAATAGCTCAGTTCTTCACAGGCAGAGCTGATCCAGTACAAAAGCACATAAATGTTATGTGGCGGCAGGAAACTGCTCAGGGCAACATAGTCGTTCACTTGATTTACAAAGGTCTGAAAACAATGTCGATGTGTGAATTCCACACTTGTGTAAGAAAAAAACCAAACCTTTATTTCCATAGGATCCACCTCAGAAGTGTGTGATGCAAAGATCTGGCTGCTAGCTAAGCATGAGGGCTAAACTTGTTTGCTTTGAAAGCTTTCCCCCTGTTATGTAAGAAACAAGTACGTTTCTGACATTGCAGTAGACTATGGAAATGTTGTTTGAACTTTTAAGGTCTTGCATAAAAGAGCTTAGGCTCCATGGAACATTATTAATATCTGTATATAATTAAAACCTTTTAGTAAACATTGAGAAGATGTTTGTCTTATTTTTGTATATGGAAGGTCTAAGTTTTATTTGATCTTGCAAGTGAGAACAAGTTGGTGTATAATAGAATTTTGCAGCTGGTATTTTGAACTGCACTGAGAAAACACTTCAAAGATATCTAAGCAGTGTTGGGGTTATTTGTATCGAAGTATATAGTTCCTAGAGATCCTAAACTACAAATGTAACTCTGTCTTATTCCCATGTTTAATCCATTGCAGCAAGGTGTCAGGCTGCCACTCTTTACAATTGGTTCTGCTCTGAAACAGTCTTCCTCTCTGCATGTGGTTCCCATTGGAATATGGCTCTGCCTTTGAGTCAAAGGTCTCAAGAAGAAGATGCTGGTAGCCACTGGTCTTGTGAACCCGCATGAATGGCTTGGGCAAGGCCACACATAAAGGCAGCAAACTGCGTTTTTTCCATGTATCTTGTGTTGCTAGTGCAGCTATAATGCATCTAGAAATGCATTTTTCCACATATGTCAGTCTCATGATTAAGGGACTATCACAGTCTTGAGAATGGGAAGCTATTCAGTTATTACCTGAGCCTGTGGAGTCTTAGTGACTTTAGGGCTGTTTGAAGTGATGTGGTAGGCTGTTTAGCTAGAGGTATGCCTGGCATCTGCAGTGTATTGCACAGCTTGGAACAGTCTTGGCTCTGGGAACCATCCAAATTTTCAGGCTCTCAGACACAGAGAATATCCAAGCAGAGAAAGGCTATCAGGAAGGAGTATGAAGCAATTGGACACATGGAGATTGAGGGAGAGAGTGGTAGTCTTCTGGAAGAGTGTATCACGTATATACCCTTGCAGCAAGCAGATCCAAACTATTGAAAGAAAGTACCTCAGTTACTGGATTCAAGCAAGAAGACTAACTTGTCCCTTCTGAACTAAGATGTGCTTATTGAACTATTTACTGGGAGACTGTAACTGAACATGTTTTACATGGCCTTATTCTGAAAAAGGCTAATACTGCAGTACCAATGCCTGTAAGACAA